AGCATCCTCTGACCTCCACAAGCACACTGTGACATGCCCCCAATAAACAATGCAGTTTTTTTTTTAATGAATGAAAGATAAATAATGTATCTTTGTTTCACTGGGTTCCTTTCTGTATAACTGAAAATGTTGAGGTTCTTTCAAATAGAGATCCAAAGAAACTTGAGCGGAGTCACTGCTCAAAGTTTTCCTAGGAACCCTCCCTCTCATACACAACAGCCTCTTGTCATTATTCTGAAGACATCTGAGCTGTATTCAAAGTCACAGCAGCTGTGTCAAAAAATGCCCCTTGCTTATTTAACTTGCATTTTAAAAAAGCCTCAGAAATGGTAATCACAATGGGCAACTTCTCGTGGAATAACAGTCTTCTTCTTCTTCTTCTTCTTCTTCTTCTTCTTCTTCTTCTTCTTCTTCTTCTTCTTCTTCTTCTTCTCTTCCTCCTCCTCCTTCTCCTCCTACCATTTCAGATCTGTTCCTGCCTGACCCATTAACTAAAATAACTGTCTTGAATGGTACCTTTCCCTTTAATGATTCCTAACATTCTAAAATGTCACTTGACAGTTGTGCAGTGGCACCTTCTAATTTCCCCAGAACCTTAATGTGACTTTTAAAAGCACTGTCCTCCAGCCACTGTGCAAATGTACTAACCTTAAGTGCGGCAGCACACAGCACTGCGCCCTCTGTCATAGTGTGTTCTGTGACTACGCACCAAACTTTCTTTCAAGTCAGCCCACCCACTTTTCCTGGTGCCTCTGACTCCCTGCCCGTCTCCTCAGCAGAACCTACCAGTAGGCAGAACCAAAGTCTTACTTTTGTCCAAACTGTTGGAGTTCAAACATCAAGAACGGGAGCGAAGCTGTTGGTCCCGCCTCCCGTGTCAATCATGTGTTCATCTCTCCCTTAACCTCTTTTCTCTCTCACTAAAAGCTCCCATGCATTCATTTAGTCAGCAGATATCTTCAGGGACTCCTCACTGTGCTACATGTGTGCGGACACCTTAGTGAGCAAAGCAGAGACCTCATCTCTTGAGAGGAAAGAGACAATAAGCTCAACATGAATCGTGGGAGTTACGTAGCATCTTGTGGATGTGCAATCCTGTGAGGTTGTCTTGTGGATGTGCAATCCTGTGAGGTTGTTAGGTGAGCACCATAATGGAGTTGGTGAATTCGAGCGGGGTAGAATGCCTGTTGCTCCCTGATGATACTAAACCCCACTACCTGACCCTCACATGTGAGTTTCCAAGGGTCATTATGGGTGGGACCTGTTCCCACAAGTCTGGGACAGATCCCCTCCTGTTTGTCTTCAGAGTTAGGAGTGGGCTTCCTTCACAGTCCTCTCATGGTGTTGTGACCTGGTTGTTTGTCTGGTTCTCCTACAGACAGGAGTATCTTGAAGGAAGTAACTGTTATTTATAAGGCAATTGTCCATTACATGTGGAAAGGCTCTACAAGTGTTATGAATGAGTGATGGAACATAACTTTTTTTTCCTTTGACAATTAAAAAAATGTTAAAATGAGATGTGGAAACTGCTTTGGAAAATATTTCAGCATTTTCTAAAAATCACAAGCCTGTAATTACTGCACAGCCCAGTAATTTCACTTCTAGGTACCTACCCACCTCCCAGAGAATGAAAACCCATGCCCATGAAAAGAGTTACATGCAAATATTTATAGTCACATTAGTCATAATATCCCAAAGCAGGGAACAACCTAAATGTCCAACAATGGGTAACTAAAGGGCATGATGTGCTCATGCTTGAGAGATAGAACAACATTAAAAAGGAAGAACCACCTCATGCTAAGCTGTACAGAAGCCTTGAGAACATCACACTGATTGACAACACAAGAGATAATAGTTACTCTATGTCTCCACTCTTATGAAGTCCATAAAGGTAGAAAGTGAAGCAAAGGCTTGGGGATGGAAGTAGGATTGATGGTAAATGGACACAACGAGTCACTCTGGTCCTATGCAACTGACCTAAAATCAATTTGCTATAATGGTTACATCAATGAGTGGATGTGGATGGAGTAGGCATGATATAATAAACAAGCCTCAAATAAGCTGAAAACATGAAATGAAGCACAAGTTTGGGGTCTAAATATAGTGAATAAAATCCCTCTTACTAAGTTATCAGAAGGTGCAACCCAGGGTCCCAGAGAATCCACCGGAACTGAATATGACTGGCTCAGACTTTCATGCAACATTGAGTCCATGCTCTTTGGGTTAAAGGTTAACTATGCAGTCAAGTTTAGATTGCAGGGATCCAACGCATAAATGTTTTACACAAAGTTTGGCATACTTTAAAATTTAACTAAAACAGGTCATCAAATTCTGGTATTTAAATTGAAGACCACAGAAATGTTTGGGAGGTGTAAGTAAAAATATTTATATTTGTATAATGAAGGACATTTCTAATGCACAATATGTTCATCAAGAATGAACACTAATATAAACTATGGCTTCTGTGGCCATCTATCTAATGACATGTCATGGTAGGCTTGTCAACTATAACAAATGTGATGATGTGTCATGGTAGGCTTGTCAACTGTAACAAATGTGCCTCTCCACTGAGGATAATGATGCAGAGGGCTAGACAGGCGTATCTGTGCCTGTGTAGACTCCAGAGGTAAGTGGAAAACTCTCTGAACCTTCAAATCATTTTTCACTAGAAAACTCTAAGTTCTCTTAAAATAAAGCCTTGGAAGTAACTAAAACAATGGGATGTTAAGGCAGAAGGACTGTAAGTTCAAAGGTACTTGGGTAAGAGTGAGCTCAAGGCCATCCTAGGCAACATAGTGAGACCCTATATCAAAGCAAAAGATAAGAATGAGGTGCAGCTTAGTGGTACTATGCTTGCCTATGTTCAATTCCCAATAGCGAACATTAGAGACATCTAATTTTAGTTTCAAAATGGAAACATAAATGTCAGGTACCTTACAAAATAGACAAAATTACAGAAATATGAAATACTAAAAAAGAACACCTAGCTACCAAACCAGCTACCACAGCTATGCAAGTTAAGAGAGAGCAAACAAGAAGAAGACGAATTGGGATAAAGGACACTATCGTGGGGTTTCATAGTGGAACATAAAAGTTATGGTTCTCTTAAATGGCACCATATTAAGGGAAATAGCTCAAGAAAGCAAAGATTTGTCTGTAATCTGCTTTCATGGTTATGCTGAGGGATGTCTTTCTATATGCTGTGAATTTATGTTGTTCCCACTGGTTAATAAATAAGCTGCTTTGGCCTATGGCAAGGCAGCTTAGAGGCAGGTGGGAAATCCAAGGAGAGAAAGAGGAAAGAAGAAAGGCAGAGGTGGGGGAGACACCAACCTGCTGCCCAAGGAGCAACATGCCCGCAGACCAGTAACAGAACACATGGCAAAACATAGATTAATAGAAATGAGTTAATTAAGATATAAGAGCTAGCTATCAAGAGGCCTGCCATAGGCCATACAGTTTGTAAATATTATTAAGCCTCTGCGTGATTATTTTATAAGTGGCTGCAGGACCATGGGGCTGGGTGGGACCAGAGGAAACTTTCAACTACATGTTTACGAGTAGCTATGGATTTCTAAGTCTCTGACTCACTTTAAGTGGTGCAACTGAGGCTGCCCGATGACCATCACAATCTAAAGAGACTGCAAAACTCTCCACTTCTCCAAACACACCTTCTGTTTTCTCAGTTGTGCCCTGACATCCCCATATACACACTGGAAATAAAGCTTAATATATGAAATCAGCTGTCCCTTCCCAGACCACTGCAGAACAACAGAGGCTAGATTCTCCTAGAGTACACATGGAGTCTGGATTCTCCTAGTGCACACAATGGAGGCTGGATTCTCCTGAAGTACACACAGAGGCCGGATTCTCCTACAGTACACACGGATGCCAGATTCTCCTAGTGCACACCATGGAGGCTGGATTCTCCTAGAGCACACCATGGAGGCTGGGTTCTCCTAGTGCACACAGACTTGTGACCAGTAGTAAAATCTGAACCCCATTTTCTAAAATATGAGCTAGAGGTATACAGAGATTGAAGGAGAGATGAGACAAGATGAACTGGCATCATGAAGCTGTGCAGAGTCTCACACACAAAGGTGGAAATTAAATGCAGACCAAATGACAGAACTACAGAAGCATGTCCTCTGATCAGAAACCCCAGTTCCAAGGCCTATCCTGCATACATCTCTGAAGTTTCATGGGATAACATGTGGCATGATTTATATTCACACATGATTAGGAAGAACATATGTGAAACAGGCACTTGGAAGCTTCCTTTCTAAAGAGTCATTGACTTGGGCCCACAACCAAAACACACTGAAAGCCTTACATCACTGCCTCCATTTTGCCTCTATCCCCTTGACCTTGGGCCACCTGCTTACCTCTTCAGGTTGGAATACTCTTCATTGAAGGAGTGTCCACTAACCTGCCTCACCCCCACTTCAAGGGTGCAGAGATAAAGTTGTCCTAAAATTTCAGGCACTTTAGATTCTAGAAACAGTGGAACTTTATAGGAAAGATCTATCCCCTCCCCTACCTCTCCCAGGAGGACAATTCTGCTGCCCATTAGAGCCAAAGTGACCATGTCCTGAGAACTACATTCATCCCCTCCAGCCATGACAGTCATAAGGACTTCTTGGGCACACAGGCAGAAGCAGAAAGAGGAGACAATGGTGAACAGACCACACTTTATTCAGGACTGCTTCATTATGCATCCCTCTTGGCTCCCACTCCACTCCATCACCAGTGATGCCTAAACCTAAGGTTGGGACCCTGACCTGGAACAAAGAAGTTTATTTATTGATAGTGAAATCTAGTCTAAGAAGAGACATCGTTAGCATTTTTCCTCAATGATGTCGCTGTCGAGTTTCAGTTATTTACCTAGTCTCCACTCCTGCAAATGGCAGGCTCTACAGCCCCCTCTTCCTCTCTCCCTGCAGTGAAGTTGACCACAGGGTTTTGTTTTGATGAATAACTCATCCTCTTCTCTCTTTCAGGAAAGGACACAGAAATGGGCCCCATCAAGCACCCTCCATTCTGCAAGCCTCACCTGGGTCGGTGAGCAGAGAGCTGTACCCACCAGCCCTGGAGAACAACCATGACAGGATGCAAAAAAAAGCATGTGTTTGGCTTGGATTTCCTTCTTTCTACCTCTTTCTCTTTCATCTCTCCTTTCCTCCCCTTCACTCTTGTTCTTCTAGCTATATGAAGCAGGTCTCACAGTAAGTGTGGCTGAAATATCTCAGGAATGTGCTTGACAGAAACAGGTAAGAGCTAACACTGGCTGAGCACTAAGCATAAGAAGATACCATTCTCTACCTTTTGGATAAAAATCAATCCTATTCTCAGAACCAGAACTCATGAGGCAGGTGACTTTTTAACTCATAACACCCAACTGATGCTGTTGTTATGATGATGAAGAAATTGTATAGGATTAACAAATTTCCAGAACACAGAACGGGGCCCAGAATGAGTAATTCTAACATGAGACAGGCTATCTTCCTCTGCCCTACAAAGAGGGATTAAAGAAAGAATAGACAGCTCCAGATAACACATAGCACAAGAGAAAACTCTGACTTGAACAGGACATCTGTCTGCAAGCCATTTACAGGCTGATCTTAGGCAGAGCATATGAGTTCCCTGAAGCAAATGTTTCCCAGTGACAAGGCAGGCATAACCAGTGTCTTCAAGCTAAATATATATATATATATAGCTTGTATATAATACCATAAAATGGTTCAGACCACGGCAAGTTAAGAGATTGTTATCATTCATCTATAAAAAAAAAAAAAAAGGAAAAGGGATAACTCAGAAGGAGAAAGCTGACATCAAATGAGCTCCTTGACTCTATCTCCTTCACTGATACCCGGAACAGCTGTGTCTGCCTCTGTTTTCCCTTGTCGTTTTTGCATCAGATTAATGGCTGTGAGGAAAAAATTCAATTACTGAGAGTATAATTATGGTTGCAAGCTTACTAATCTGCTTGTACATTATTTGGGGTATATTTTATTAAAAATATTATTGCATTTGGCTTTATATGATGTTATCCTATAAATATAATTAGATTTTGATCCCTAGAGAACTTCTTCTTTCTACAGGTGCCTAGAAATATGTATTCTATGCAGGAAACAATTGGGAGATGTCTTTGGCTAATAAACAAAAGCCACACTTCTTACAGAATCCAGAGATTCTCAATGTATCATAATTCTAAATGTGGACCAATGTGGTACCAGAAAACGACAATGGTTCAGGGATGCTGAGGCCCCAGCAACAGAGAGAATCAAGGGCTCCGGGGTAGGCAGATAATGTGTAGTTGATGCTGCTGGTGGCTCAGGGAACCCTAGCCAGACTTCCTACTGGCAGCAGTTGCATCTCTTTGCTGAAAAGGTCTTCTGGGTCCTAGCTCCACTCTTCTGACTTGCAGAGAGATTCACAAATCAAGGCCTGGAATGGGCTCCTGGCTCATAACTGAGAGGGCTTGGTAAATAAATAATCCAGCCATTGACCCTTGGCAAGCAAACTCTGGATTGTGTATTTTTCAAAAGTACTGAATTCCCCAGGCTGACTAAGTTTGAGTTGCCTAGAGCTATCCTTGCCTATTCTCCACCTTCTCTCATTTCCCAGCTAGTTGTAGCTCTAGGTTTGTAAGTGCAACTTGCATAGATTGAACAAATCAACCTTGATAAATATGCACAAACATGTCTAGACCAAGCAAACACAAAATATTCATGCTATTGTTCTCAAAACAATACAGTAGCAATAATTTGCTTAATGTTAACATTGTATTAGGTATTATAATTAATGTAGAGATGATTTAAAGAATAAAGGAGGGTGCATATAGATTACATTCAAATGCTACAGTGTTTTGAACCTGAACATTCAAGGTTCTTGGTATCCACGGGAAGTCCTGGACCTAGTCCACCAGAAAACCACCACATTTCCTGCATTCCTTCCCAAATAAACCACACACAGCCAAATCCTCTTCTTGGGATCTGCTTCTGAGAAATGTAAGCCAACCTGTCTTTCCCCCAGGGGAAAAAAATTCCTGACCAATTATGACAACACAAGTATCTTTAGAATACCTCCTCATTATCACCTCCTAAGAAACACCCAAGATATAGCCGCCTCACTACCACAGTAGGTCCTTCTGAAGAGGGGACCATGAGGTAGCTGGTGTCCTATCCCATGTCCATAAGTCAGCTTTCCTGGCCATTCTTACTTAGACTCACGCTTTCTATCCCCATGGAATCATAAAATAAGTGAAAGTATGTTTCTCTTACAAACGGACTCTTTTCAGAAACGTTATTTCCAAAAACAGTTAAAATAGAACCTTCCTCATTTAAAAGATTGATGACTGTTCTCCGCACTGAAAAATCTGAGCACATGTGCCCTGGCATGAGCTACCCCTGGCCAGCCTCACCTGCTCTGTTGGAAACCTCTAACCCCAGGGGGCTTTCCTTTTCCTCAATGCAGATCAGCTTCTTTACCATCATAGCCCAATAAAAGTAATCAAGACAAAAGGGGAGTTTTTGAAAAATTTGGTTGACTTTCACTATCATAGAATGAATAATATATCTTGATAGCTAATAAGTTGGATGTGCCATCAATAGTTAAAGCAAGAATAGTGAAATAGTTGCCCACAGAAGAGCAAGCCAGTCAATATTGCAGCTTGAGCAAGAGAGACATTTAGAAGACCTCACTACTAGCTGAGGAGTTACTGACAGTTGATGGCTACTAGGGGCAGGCGAGTCTGCTTTCTTTAAGGGTGTGGCCTCTGATGAGTCTGTGGCTAACACAGATTGGACTTGGCAGGAGATAAATATATATATATATATATATATATATATATATATATATATATATTAAGACAAAGGAAAAGGAGTGTGAAGAATGAAGATTTAGGAGGAGGAGTAAGAACAAATATGATCAATATATATTGTTTGCATATATGCAATTCTCAAATAAATCAAAGTATTACATAAAAATAAAATTTAAATGAATTCATGTTCACATTTGAAAGAATAGCAGAAGAAAAAAGGAACATATAAGATTTAAATGATGTGTGTGTCAATACTAGAGATTTAGGAGTAATAAAAAATAATAATAAATGGTAATCCTTGAGATATCATACCTATGAGACAGCACACAATCTGCCATCATACAATGTATATTAAATCTTCAAGGAGCTTTCCAATCTCCCTAGGCTCTTTTCCTGAATTCCATGAATATCATTAAGATACTCCTGAAGGCCAAGAAACAGAAACAACAGCTCTGCTTTAAAAATAAATAAATAAATAAATAAATAAATAAACATTCTTTTAAAGACAATATACGAACAGCCAATGAGTGCAAGAGAAAGATGCTGATAGTAACTGGGCATTAAGGAAATGGAGCCCTAACCACATGAGATGTTTATCACTTCACACTCATTAAGATGGTGAATACCAAAAATAAACCAGCAAGCAAATCCTGAGAGAGTTCTAGAGAGGCTGTAAGCCCTGTGCACCATCAGGAGGAAGGGAAGAGGGCAGTTACTACAGAAAACCATTCCTGCAAAAACTAAAAATACGATGATCCTGTAATTTCACGTCTGCATATAGACCCGGAAGAATTCGAAGCCGACCCTCAAAGACATGTTTGCAGGCCCTTGTACTAGGGACAGTGGGCAACAGATAAAAAGGTAAGAGTAACATGAGTGTTCATAAACGGACACAAATGAACGACCAAATGCAACATGTGGACACACTAGGATGCCCTTAAGAAGAAAGGAAGTGGAAACTTGAAGATGTTATGCTTAGTGAGACAAGCCAGCCACAAAAATAAATAAATAAATACCATACTTACTTAAACACAGGCAGCAGTCAATTTCATACACACAGAAAACCTTTGGTAGTTGCAAGGGACCAGGAGAGAAGGGATACACAGAGTGGGTTAGTGGGGGGAGAGATTCAATTTGGCAATATGAAAAGACTTCAAGGGACAGCTGCACAATGATGTGAATATATTTAGTGCCACTAAAATGCACCCTTTAAAATGCTCAAAAACTTGTGTGTGTGTGTGTATACATATATACACATATATCATCAATATTTTAAACAATAACCTTTAAAATTTACACCCACTTTTCTGAAGTCATTACTCTTCAGTAGAGAATGAATGTAGGTTGGATAAGATTCAAAGTAGGGGAACCCAAGAGAGGATCATGGGCTGACAATGGACACTACCTCACTATCTCTTTGACAGGGGTCAGCCTCCTGTCTGTGCTGAAGAAGAAGCTGAGCCCCCAGAGAGGGTGTGTGCAGCATCATGGTGTGACCTGTCCCCTGACTTTGAGCCCAGGGCCATCTTCTTTGTCAGCACACCATTTCCTTGCATCCTTCCTGAAGATACTGTTTCAAATATTGTCCCTTCAACTCTGACCCCTTAAATATATTCAGTCTTAGGTTCTTTATTTCCTTGTATAGCTTCCTTCTGAAATAGACAGTGTAGAAGATCAAACACAGAGCCCATTGACAAATGAGCTTATCAGCCAGGCTGCCTGTGGAATCAGCTGGCTCTGTCCCTTAAAGCGGCTCCTGACAGAGGGGGGATAAATCTTCAAGTAAAGACTTCTAAAGGATCCTCACATCAGAGCACAAGTTCAGCTCTCAGAGGCCACTTCTCCTGACATCTAAGAAACATACTTAACGCCCACATCAATCTCCCCTCCAACCCCAGGTCACCCGACCTCCTCTTCCAGAGAAAAAGCTCACCTGAAGCCTTCCACTCCACCCACCTGTTGTGTGGCTTAGAACTAACCTTCATGGGTGTCAGTAGGTATCTTCAGGATAGGATGCAGTCACCATGAGGAACCGTTTCTGGTACCCCAAGCACCTTACCAAAGTTCTGCATCCTAAAGCCACAATCCCCGAGCAGGTGTATTTCTGCTAAAGCATGCACAAAATTGCTTTTTATCTGTAGTCAACGCTCTCAATTAGTTCAAAACACAGGTAGTTTATTGATAGAAAAAAATGGATGCACATAGAGTGACTTCAATAATCTCTCTGCTGATAAATCTAATCCGTATATTGTATATTAATATTTATAAATATGCATACTGTGTGTATATATAAGTAAATTACATATTAAATATATATCAATCTTTTAAGTAGGTGAGCCTGTGTTTGTGTTTTCCATCTGTTAGCTTGATTTTAGCAAAAAGTATTCTCCTTTTAGAACCCATGGATTGACATTAAATAAATGAATCATCACTGTGAGGTCACCTGGTCACTAGCATGCCTTACGTCACCTTTACAGACTGTCAACACCTCTTCTCTGCTCTAACACAAATTCTAAGCTGGCATAAAATTCACCAGTTTCATGTCACTGACTTTTACTTTTCTTCACTGAAGGAACGCTTCAAAACACTGGAGTTTTCTTTGAGATGTACTTGGAAATGGGATTTCAGTTAAGACAGTAATACAGAGTTCTGGTATATTAGACATCTATAATTCTCACTGTAATGAAATCTTGTCAGTGAAGATATGAGAAAAAATTATATGACTCATTGATAAGTAGCATAAAATTAAAATTAAATGATTTCCCCCAAAATATTGAGATCTACTCTGTATCTTTTGCTTTCAGAGTTTACAGAGACAGTTTAAATTACACAAATGGTCCAAGAAGATGACTCAGCCAGTATAGGTGTTTGCCACAAAATCCTGGTAACTCGAGTTCAAACCCTGGAGCTTATATAAAAGGAGAAGGAGAGAACCAGTGCCACACAGCTGTCCTCAAGCTTCCACATGTCCCCTGTGGTATGCATCCCAGCCTAAACGCACACATGCACACCATGCATTCACATGCACACAATAATAAATAAAAATTTTTTAAAAAAAAATAAGCCATGTAAGTAAAGTGTGTGTCAGTGAAAAAAAAAATTTCCCAACCTATGGCAAATTCCCTCAGATATTTTCTCAAAATTTATGCTTACATCAGATTACTCATGAAAGGTACAGTACTGAAGGCCAGGAAGATGCCTTCCTTATGGGCAGAAACTAACCATTCTTTGTCTTTCTTTAACTGAAAGAAAGGCTCTCCATATTTGCCAAAACATTCAAGACAAGTTCTGTTATAAATAGAGAAATTCTGGCTTCCAAGTAAGATTTTCTGGAAGGGTCAGTTCTGCTCTACCAACTGATTAAAGCTTAAATAGAAAAGATTCTCATTAAATTGCTTCCAAGAAAAGCACCTTCCACATCCAAGCTCCTCTGAAAGCCACGTTTTGTTCACATGTGACACAGTTCCCACGATGCACCATTGTGCAACTATGTTGTCAATGAGGGGAAACACAGCCACATTTGCACAGACAAGTGGGAGCCTCAAGGGACCGAGAACTCTACAAGGTGGGTTTTAAGCCAGACACTGCCCTGCAGAAGGCATGAGCTGACCTGAAATTTCCATGAAACAGGGTCAGATGGTTCACCCAGCAGCCCTACAGCTCTCCTGAACTGTTACTGCAGCAGCAACACAAACAACATCCATATTGATTAATTTATACAACAAACCCCCTCAAGTCCCTAGTCATTTTAGACAAATCATGGATAAGACAAAAATAAACCAAGTATGTAGCCAACAATGAACTGACATCAAATTCTACATTTTATCCACAAATTCTTTCTCAATTTTCATGTTATTTTCCCAGACACTATGACTTTGAGATTAGTTTCATTTTAGCCTCAACTACTATGTCCCATATATGTCCCATATTCTCTATGTGGTGCTCCTTTTCATGGGTATGGCACGTTCCGGTTCTCACGGCTAGGATGCCAGTCCTAGGAGCTGCATCTGAAAGCTTGCATTTTCTGACCATCTCCTAACCAGATTTCCAGCCATGCACTCCTTCACAGTTGACTGCTGTTATGTTCCTATTATCACTCGCCTGTTTCCCTGCCAGTATGGAATCTTCTTTAGCTCCTGCCTATCTGGTAGTCCTACCTATTTGTGAACAGTGTGTCTGAGTTCCCTATTGACTGGGCCCAGGTCACCTGTCAATGGAAGAGTCACATGGTCTACAGAGAAGATCCCGGCTCTGGTGTTGGAATAGCTGTGTTAATCCCAACTCTGCCATTTACTTTTTTAGAGGCTCTGAGCCTGTTCCTTCAGCTCTTAGCTTTCAGTAAACTCACTTGAAAAATAGGAGTAATAAAATCAATGTTGGGTGGTTATATGAAAATTAGACATCATGTCTACAGTACCGTGTTGGTTCCACTCACTTACACTATCCCCCCTTTGTTCACATTAGACCTCTCACTCGGATGTTCACCCTACCCCCATCTTCTACTCCTGAAAACTTCAAAGAAGGTGTGAATCAAGGATAGGAATGGCTATGTGGGATATATTATTGTATAAGGACCCTTTCTAGTAAACTCCAAATTTAATTGTATTTTTTTAAGCATAGAAGTAGAAATCCCATTCCTGGGAAATTATTTCCTGTCAAGAAAAATACTTGAATAAGATCTCATTTCCCAGAACCCCCTAGGCAAAGCAAGCACCAATGATTCCTCAGTCCCACTTACTTGAGAAATCAACAAATATTAATCAAGTACTTATTAAACACCAGACACTAAAGTAATAAAGATATAAGCCCAGGATCTTGCTATGTAGACATAATGATCAATTATGAAAGATGGGAGTCTGACACACATTCACAAAGAAGTATATGTGTGACAATCAAATGATTATAAAATAATACAAAAGGAAGAAGAAGGAGTAGCTAAGTTCAGGTCAGAGGATATGGTAAGTACACATAGAAGATGTGTATCAAATTAAAATGGGACTCTTAAGAAGAGGGGAAGGCTTGCTGGTACTGGGCAGGAGAAAGGCTTCTGGGAACAGAGACAAGCCTTTCTGAGCAGGGACTCTCTATAGATAAAGGTGTCCTTAGAGCTGGAACACATCAATAGGAATCAAAAGTTCCATCACTAAGGCTTAGGTTGGGTTAAGATGGGAAGTACTAAGAAGGAAGAAAGGGTACCAGTTAAGGTGATACCTTGAGCCAGGGAGTGGGTTTGAGCTTTACCCTAAGGGCACAGGAAAGTGAGGGTAGAGCGTTTAATTCCAGTTTTTTTTTTCCACTAACTGAGATTTTGTGGCTTATATGTGGTATTGTAAGAAGTGGTGTGAAGCTACACATGCTCTGATACACTCCAAGCCAATGAAATGCTATGTGAGAAATGACTGATGATCTTTCCCAAGGAAGTCTGGGTAGTGGTATTGGGAGAAGCAATGTGAGCAGAAAGGAGGTGAGCCATTCGCTGATGGCTGGGTACCAACAGACAAGCACAGAGGAGAGGATGGCAAAGTCCTTGGGCAATACTGACAGCAACAGGGATGGGCAAAGGAGTCTAATAGGATAGCTCATATGTTCACAGCAGAATTGCCACTTCTAGAGATGTTCTCTCAGCCTCTTTCTGGAAACAGGGCAATGTAATGATATCATTTATCTGGTTCCCCGGGAAGATTCAGGGTAACATGTCATCATCAGTATGCACTTAGAAATCAAAGAGGCCTGGACAGGAAGCACTTTTTGTCCACTTCCTTCACACATGACTTGGGCAGTTTACACTGGGTCTTAATCTTACCAACTTTTACAGCATGCCTCAGAGGTCTGTGGCTCTCTATCTCTGTCCGTCTCTGTCTCTGTCTCTATCTCCCTGCAGAGATTGAACCCTGGACCTCACTTATGTTAGGCAAGCACTCTACTACCGAGTTATATCCTCAGCCTTTTTTCTATTTCTTTTTCATTTTGAGACAGTGATTTGCCAAGTTGACAAGACTATCTTTGAATTTACTCTATAGCCCAGGCAGGCTTTGAACTTGCAATTCTCCTGCCTCATCCTCCTGAGAAGCTAAGACTATAAGCCTGTGCCAACACACCCAGCTAGAGGTTGTTCTGAAGAATAGGTAAGAGCCTGTGTGTGGAGTACCTAGAACATTCCTTGGCATATGGCAGATGTTCCATGGGATAGGCCATCCTGCTATATGCAAAGTCACAAAGAACAGGGATGGCCCTCCAAAAGTATAAGGAACTCAGAAAGGAGAAGAAATTAGTCAACTTTTAAGTGCCTTAGCTATTAAATCTAAATTCTTCAAGTAGAGACAATAAGCGCATATTTTTCTGTGAGGGCGTGTTTGACTGTTACATTGCAGTTGGTATTAACACGGACAGCAGGAATATGACTGCTAATTAAATCTTCATTGAGGTCTACCCACAACAAATATACAATTAAGATGTCAGGAACAAGGATGGGAAAGAGAAAACAAAAGAACTTGAGAAGTCCTCCATGGAAGACTCTTCCTTTTGTATACCATGAATAACCCTCTACTCCTCTGGCCAACCAAGCTTATTCTCAAACTGATGCTGCTAATTGAATGTTCTAAAACAGAGAGCCAGCATCCAGAAGCTTACTTTCTGCATCTGATGAAAGCACACAGGGATGGGGAGCCCACAGACATCTAAGACTCCATCTTTTCCTCTCTCTAGTCCAAGCCAACATGGTTGCTCCATGCAGAAGAGTGAGTTTCCTGATGCCTAAAATTAGGAAGGTCTGATGCCTGAGAGTAACTGGAGCCACTCTCCTAAGAGAAACAGAAGCTGGAGAAGCCAAAGGAGCCAAGTTGCAGTGGGGTGGCTCCAGGGAGGACTTCTTTCACTTTCTACTAAGACACGGACAGTGCCTTCTGGCCAAATGATGAGATGGATTAACCGCTTAATCCTAAACCCTGTTCTAGCCCATAGATGCATCTTGTTCCAACGACACTCAATCTGTCCTACAGGCTCAAGAGATCCCTCGGGGCTGTTTATAGGGTAACTCAGATCAGCTCATCTTAAGAAAGATGCCAGTGACAAATACTTGTGATAACAACTGAAATGCCACAGCCTACAAAATTAGGAAATGAATGCTGGAGAGATGGCTCAGCTGGTTGCCATCGCTGACCACTTGAGTTAGAACCAAGGGACCCACACGGTGGAAAGAAACAACTGTCTCTTGTAAGTTGTCCTCTGACATCCACACATGAGTGGTGACACGTCTATACCCAAACACACACACACATACATACACACACACACACACACACACACACACACATATATACACACACACATACATACACACACACACATATACACACACACACATACATACATACATACACACACACATACATACATACATACACACACACATACATACATACATACATACACACACACTAATAAATAAATACAATTTTAAAATTAAAAATAGAATAACAGAAAACATGAAATACTTATATCAACCTTAATTCCCCTTAAGAAGGAAGCTGTGTTGAAGTCCCAGGTTGGCTTAAGTTAGTACTATTCCTTTAGATGAGTAAATGAGCTTTCTCTATTGGTCTTCTTCAATCACAAAGAGACCCCAGTTCTTCCCAAACCTGCAGTGGATTCCCATTTCCCCAGGGTCAGCAACAAAATATCTACCTGCAAAGCTCTGCAGATTATTTTCAACAACACTGATGTCCCTCTCGAGATATCTCCAGCCGCAAAAGACAAACGCAATAACTTCATTTCCAGCTCTTTTTCAACAGTCAAACCATGAAGCTGACCACAGTAGTGTGTGGCCATCAAAGGACAAATTCTGCAACTACCTCTGTGAGCGTTGTTTTCACAGCACTTATTTAATATCATCACGGACCAACGTCACCAGTCCCTACACAAGGCTGGCATAGGGATGAGCAATCCTGAACCAAGCCACCTCGCAAAGACCAGGAGGAGAAGACAGTGGGGGAAGAGTTGGATATTGTGTCTCTGAGCCCATGGATTTGTGCTCTTGGTAGAGGGCAATGCCGAGTCCCTTTTTAACAGGACCTTAGCAATGCAAAGTTCCCACAGAGAACCATATCCAGACAGATGCTGGAATCATTAGGACCCCACAGAATAATCACATCAGTAGAACCAAACGGCTCCCTCCTTAAGCAAGGATATAATTGGGATCCCTTTCCCTTCCTCTCCAATCAGAATAGTAAAGCCAGATGGCTTCTCCTCCCAGCGGCACAGCTCACTAACCTACATAGTTCTTGGAGCAGAAATGAGTCCTCTATCAAATCTGCTGCTTTGCTCTGCTCCAACTCCCAGAGACCAGAATCAACTTCCCCACAGGGATTACCTGCTCTATACTCTAGAAGCCACTTTTTGGCCACGAGGCTGGGGCAGGAGGAGGGAGGGACCACTCACCATTTGATTGCTGTACCAGTACAGCGATGACCCCTTCAGCACCACCCAGAACTTTTTCCACTTGGTGCTTAGGAAAGTCCCCTTTTCCTTTTTCTTGTACAGCCAACCCTGGCAGTCAGCATGGCCCAGATCTTTGCAGGATATCCTCCTCCGACTCATGGTGAAAAATCCTGCAACAGTTATACGAACAGGTGAGTGTGACCCGGACTCGGGTGACAAGATAAAAGGCAACTTTCAGTTGTTTATATGGCAAGGGCTAGTTAGAGATTTTCATTCATACAAAGTGAATGTAAAAAAAAAAAAAGGAAGGAAGGAAGGAGAGAGAGAGAGAGAGAGAGAGAGAGAGAGAGAGAGAGAGAGAGAGAGAGAGAGAGAGATCCATGTATCTGCTCTATTTTTAAACATTCATTCGGTGCCTAGAAAACCCGGGCAAAGAGGCAGTGAGACTTATACGCAAGCATAGGTCTGAAAACCTTAGTCAAAAAGAGTAAGTTGAAAACGTAGACTCTCAGAGCTGGCAGGCACATTGTGGCAGACACACGGGTCCTTCCCACAGTAACAGTGGCAGTTACGCAACACACACGGAAGGGTTAAAGCCCACCTAGGACCCCGGGGACTTCCTCACTCGGTGCCAGCTCTCTAAGCTCTGTGGACAAAGCCCGAGGGACAGCAGGTCCGAATGAACAGCGTGTCATCCTTTCTTAAAATCAGTCCAAAAGCAAGCCCAAAATTTAATCTGCCATCCGTCTCCTGATATTAAACTCAGACACACAAGAATCTGATCCCCTGCCCAAGAAGGCATCCAGGAGAAAGAGAAAAAAAAATCCACACACACATACAAGAAAGGGATAAAGGAACAAAAGGGATCTAATTACCTTGAGTTTTCTTCCTCGGCTTCTGACGCAGGGGAACCTGCTGGAAATGCAGGAAGGAAAGAAAAGAGGCAATTTCTGATTGTGTTGTAACATTTGTAAAGAGAGAAGGAGGGAGGGGGCGGCAGTGTTTATGAGCGGGGTGGATTCTAAAAAAAAAAAGAAAGAAAGAAACTCTCCAAGCAGAGCTCAAGGGGAGCTACGAGCTGAGGCACAAAATGTGCTAATTAGAATCAATGTACATTGAGCTGAACCTGGAAAAAGGTAACAGGGCATTTATCTGTAATGCTTCCTGTTTCCTCCCACAAGCAACTCCTGCTAGTTGGGCTACTCACTTGGCTAGTGAGGGCGCCGGGCTTGAGGAACTTTTAGAAAATCATGAAATACTTTACCTATACATTTTTGTGAGAGAAGAAACATCTCTTCTCTCTCTTGACTTCTAAATAATATTGATTATTTAAATAAAACTGGAGAATAATTGTTTCCATCTCAAGCTGTTAAATGCTCACATCAGACTAATTTCATGCTCTTGCTAATACACAGGGTTCTACCTACAGCACGGGAATTAAATAGCCTTGGGAAAGAAATTCCTAATCTCTTCTTTTGTGACCTCAGGGACTCTAAAGCCTCCTCCTGATCTGGAATTTCTTATTCACAGCCAAATTTACATATCTTATTCTATCTTTACCTCTGAATATTTCTCACATGTTTTATAGAAGATAAATATTCAAATATTCAAATCAGACATGACAATTTATATAAAATACACACATTTTTCAGAACACATTTTCACCAAGTAGTATGAAATTGGATTCCAAACAAAACTGGGAAACCCAAGGAAAAAATATGTTTGCAAATCTCTCTCTCTCTCTCTCTCTCTCTCTCTCTCTCTCTCTCTCTCTCTCCCTCCCTCCCTCCCTCCATGTGTGTGTATAAATATTACAGAAAACTTTAGCTTTAAAATTTTTTCTTTTTTTTCTACAGCATCTAAGCTGAAATTCTTCAGTTTTAGATAATTTTCACTTTTATTAACAAGCAGAGGCTTCGACATTTAAACTTAAAAGTAGCTCTAGAAGTTGGTAGGTAATCTCATGAATTTGGTGGTACTCCAGATGCATCTGACTAGTAGTGCACATCTCCAGCTACTGATGAATGGTGCATGTGATGCTGTTGTATGTTTGGCAAGGGAATATAAAGCCACAGGCCCAGAATTAACAAGGAGCTATATTACCCAAGGAAACTCACTCTAAACCTATTTCCTCATTTGTAAATAAAATAAAATCAAGATAGTTTCCAGAAATACTCAGGAGTTTGAGACAGGGCAGACTCAGGGCAGAATGAACTATAGAACAACACAGATATAAGTGTGTGTGTGTGTGTGTGTGTGTGTGTGTGTGTGTGTGTGTGTGTGTTATATGAATTCTAATCCCATAAGTCTCGAGATCTGCCAAGATTTATTTGTGAAAATATTCTGATAACTAAAAAATGTTTTTGTGAATAATCCCATATCACCATATCATGGAGATATGCAAAGATAAGTAAACACAATTAATAAGACTCATCATTTTTTTTCCTCCCATCTACTGTGGGGTTCCCAGAGCTCCACCTAATAACATTTAACAGTTTCTTATTTTTGTAGTTAAGTAAATTATACCACTTGTAAGTAAGTTTCATACTTTCCACATACCCAATGCTAGCTGAGGCTTCCTGTGTGGGATCCACTCCTGGGACCCTCTGCAGTGCCCAGTGGAGTCTCACTTCTAAGGAGCAGATATTTTATTCAGCATGCCTGGGGTGCTCTGCTGGTATGTGAGGTGTTTGTTAACTGAGCAAACTTTCCTCCTAATAAAGGGGGAAAAGTCCAGCAAATTCAAGAAAACGTAGAAGCCATCAACTGTCGGCTAGCTGAGAGTATATAGTTCTACAGATTGCTTCTAATCAGGCAGCCAAGATGGCCACTTAAGACTCGTCATTTTACCGTAAGTGTGATTTGTGTTTCCCTCAGCAGAGAGGATGGAGTTAAGGTTAAATCGTGTTTCTTTAGGGATACAAAACGAGTGCAATCCTGAACTGGCTTTTTATTTTATGAACATCCTTTCTTCCCTTAGATCATTGACTGATCTCTTTGAGGACAATATTTAAGCAAACTCAACGTGTGTTAACCTTGGCATGCTAATTAAGTCTAAATATATTATCATGTTAAGGGGCTCATCTCCCCTCCCTTTCCCTAATATTTCCCACACTGCCAACTTCTTGGCCTAAGATCCCTACTCTTCCTTGGTCTCTGGGCTTTCTTTGTTTCTTTTTTATTTGTGGCAGTATCCTGAGATCAGTAAATCCCATTAGTACCCTCCTGGTTATGTAATATTGTCCAAATTGAGAGCAGGGGCTAAGGACAGTGAGAGTAGAGGTTTGATAGTCAGTAAGGTTTGGGAAATCTGGGACCCCAAGGAGCAAATGAAGTGACTGAGAACAGCAGAGGAGAGAAAGCAGGGGTATGTATCCAAGCTTATTCCTAGAAGGCTGGAGCCCCAGGTAAACAAGATGAAACTACTTCAAACAACAACAGAAGCTAGAAAGAAAGAAAGAAAGAAAGAAAGAAAGAAAGAAAGAAAGAAAGAAAGAAAGAAAGAAAGAAAGAAAGAAAGAAAGAAAGAAAAAGAAAAAGAAAGAAAGAAAGTGTTTCCTTCTTGTGCTTCCATGAGGAACTGAAA